CTGTATGGTCCAAAAGGTGTCCTGCGAAAGAAAACAACATAATTAACATAATTGGCTGGAGCAAAGGACAGGCGTGGAAGAGTTGTTTTCTTTGTTACATTGTAACATCCAGCATATATATACTTCCCCTTTTCATGTTCCATTATGCTTGACAACGGTACAAGAATATGTATCGAAACGTCGCCATCAAAGAAAAAAAAGTTGTTGTCCATAAAGTTTGTTCTATACTGAGTCAAAAAGAATCTTCACAAAATGTAATTTGAAAAATAATGAATACTTTTCTCTGATGATACATCTATGTTTCCGAAATGGGATCCCTATCTTTCGACGTAAGCAAAACCCACTCAAACCCATCCATTCGTCGTGCAAATGAGGTTAGTGCCAAATCAGGTTTTGCACGTGCATTCCATCACGTGATCTTCGCATCGAAGTTTTCTTCATATGCACGTGTTTGCATTGGCCTCAGAATTGAAAAACACTTTTAAACCACAGTTTTAACGGTACTTTGAAATGCCACAGTTGTCAAATGTGCAACGTGAATGTGCCGTTGGCATGGTGCAACCAGAGGAAGATCAGTTATTGACGTTGCAAGAGCAATGGGATGCAGCCGTCGTACTGTGTATGACTTGCGAGGTCGTCTACAACAAACTGGCACCACTTCTGATCGCCCAAGGTCGGGTCGTCCACGTGTGACGTCACGAGCAGAAGACCGTCAAACCGTCCTACGTCACCTACGTGACAGATTTCTGCAAACTACACGAACCAGGGCTGGGAATGTTTAGAGGTCGACGTCGTGAACGGTATGCCCAATGTTGTGTACAAGAAGTCGACAGATTCGGGTGCGGAAGTTGCATGGTATGGGGTGCTTTCTGTGGGAACAACCGTTCCCGACTTCTGGTCATCCCTGGAAACCTCACAGCTGCAGCTTACCGCGACCAGGTGCTCACCCCTGAACTCGTTCCTGTAATGGCGGCTCATGGCCCAGGTCTGCAGTTCAGTATGATAATGCTCGGCCGCATACCGCGATGTTGACACGATATTTCCTTCAAAACGCTGGAATCAACGTCATAGACTGGCTATCGAGGTCCCCTGACCTTAATCCAGTAGAGCACGTTTGGGATGCACTTGGGAGAAGGCTTCGTGGTCTTAGGAACCAACCTCAGAATTTGCAGGAACTTGGCGCTGCCTTGCAAGAGCAATGGCGCAGAATCCTCAACCACGTGTTCACAAGCATCAGGCAGTCGATGAGGAGACGGTGTTTGTCAGTGGTGAATGCGCGGGGCAGCCATACACGATATTGAACTGGAGAAATTTCGCATTTTTATTCTTGTGTATCGAGTACATCACACAGATCTCAGCAATGAAATAATAACAGATTTAACCATTTTACAATCTCTTGTTCTTTATAGTGCCATGAAGAAAGATTGTGAAGTTTCTTTATTGACTCAGTATATATTGTACTTCCCAACTTCTCAAATGCCACTCAAAGAAGTTACTGTACTCATTGTCTCGGTGCCTGATGCTCATGTGCATAGAATAGTCAAGCGGTTTAGACAGAAGCGGCTATGAAACAGGTGATTTGAGTCAATGAGTACTGATCTATCTACACAGGCGCCATGGCAATTTGTACTTTAGACCAGGTGCGTTGCTGTAAGTGCTTATTGCTTTACCATAAGATTTGCTATCTCGTGCATATTCGCGTGTTTCTCGTATCTCAGACTGTGTAACTATAATTAGAAAAATGCTCATCTGAAGTTACAAGCTGTAGTGGTGATTATAATGTCTTGTCCAAAGGGGCGTGTTGCTCTTAGAAACAGCGTAAGAAAGATAGATATATATATATATATATATATATATATATATCCTAGTACTATATAAAAGGAAAGGGATGTAACGACGAAACCACCCCCTCCTCCATCAAAGTTACATTTCTCCATTTAAAATATTCCAAGGCCCTGCCTAAGGTGACGCCTACGGATCAAAGCAATATAATTTCCTACAAAATGATCTATAAATTGTCACAATCGGATCATTATGTCAACAGTTGTATGCCACGTCTCATCCAAAACAGCTTCCTCCGCACTCCACGCAAAAATCATTGATCAGGCCAAGAGAGCGAAAACTCACCTTTTAAATATGTTTATTGATTCCAGGCACGTTGACAGCACCTATGTAGGGGACTAGATTTGATCGGCAGCGGTATGCATAGTTCCGACCGATCGCCCGTCAACCAATCAGATCGCGTCTTTTCCGTCACCGCGGGATAGCTTGTTGCTAAGGCGCCATTAGGTCCCCAAGCTTTCGGTTGTCAGGACATTTGACCCTGCAAAGTAGCTTGCCGTTTTTAGTGATAATGGGGAAACGCTGTGCATGGGGACTTGCGATTCTGATGAGGGATATCCTGAGAGGCTTGGGAATGCACTTTTCATTCCTTTTCCAAAACTCAAGTTCCGTTTGGAAACGTGTTTGCGATGGATTCGGGCTTGTGGAAGACCCATCATCAGCTGAATAACAACATCAACAAACACAAAATATGTGTGTTCAAAGGTACATTTAATTATTGATTCATTAACCTGTGAAATAATTGTCAAAGGGGAAGATTTCAGTGAGGTTATCTGTCTACTGGAATTATATATATCACGTATACTGGAATTATCTATTATGATACGTGCATACAATAGATCTAGTGCATATCTTAGCCGACTGCGTAGTGTAAATATTTATTATTTTTTTATATTAGATTTTTTATATTTTTTTATCATAATCATAACCTGTAGTGAAGTAATACTAAACTCAGTAGGACACTTCACAATGACTTTATATAATCAATAAAGAAAAATGCCCAAATTGTCAGATTATTGGTACTGCCAGCAGATATTGTGATTTTATATTATCAAAATCAATTTTTGACTTTGCTCACTTCAAATATATGTGATTAGTGTTAGAATTTCTGAGGAATTTGATAATCAATGTCCTGTTTTGACAGCATTTCAAGACCAACAGCAGAGTTCCCATACCCTATTGCTATTGGGGGAAATGTGACCCCAACCCGGCCACCACCAAAAGAGAGGATCCGTCTGGATACCTGTGTGATTCATCTCCAAAGGTATATTTTTTTTAAAAAGAATGATACCTCTGATTCATCTCTAAGGTATATTTTTTTTTTAAAAAGAATTATATGTAACAGTTTAACATTTCAAGAATACAATGCCTATTAATAGTTGTTTTGATGTTTTTGTGCTCATACTACCAACTTTACTATAATTATTTTAAAAGATTTAATGTTAATGTGACAAACATCAGTATGTAAGAAACAACACAACAAAAGAATAGTACCTCATCTATTTTTATTTTGTCCTCACTTGTCAGTGTATGGTGACTTTATTTAATCCCAAAATTTGGACAATGAAGAGAAAAATTATCAACTTATTCCATGCATCCCCAAAACATATAACCATGTTATTATAAAACAAGAGCGATAACAACATATAAATATAAAGCATAAAAATAACAACTCAAAACTTAATTATAAGTACACCTGAAAATGGTTGACCTCAAAGTTGTGAAATTATGATAAATTATTAAATAATTTGATGCATGTAAAACGATTGATCTGTAACAAATTATACAGAAACAAGTGTGATAACAAAATATACCTGTAAATAAAACTAACAAATCTAAAATAACAAAACAAGAAGATTAAACCATTGTGTAATCTGTCCAAAATAAATGAGATCTATACATGGAGGTGAATATATAGAAAATATATGAGTATATAGAAAATATATGAATATAAAGAAAATATATGAATATAAAGAAAATTATATCAAAGTAAAGTGACAACTGGCTATAAGGGTAAATTACTTACTCATGAATTTACCTTATTTAGATTTACAAAAAATATGGATTTTTACAATATTGCCACATGTTTACTACAAATAACTATTTTTCTAAAAAAATGTTATTTCAGACAACTGTTTCAAACAAACAGAGAAATATCCCCAGGAAGGTGTCTGTTGAAGAGAGAATCAAAGGTACACAGACCGATGAATCATGTGGAATTATAACATGGAAAAGCTCAGTTGGGGGCAGTCAATTATGGCATAAGGCAAAATTTTAATTGCATATTCAGTTGAAGCTGATAGTATTAGCAAATCAAAACCATTAGGCCATTATAATCAATTTAAAACATTTTTGAAGTTATATAGCTAATTTCAAAGTCTTTCATAACAAGATGGAGACATTGTTTTTCCTGAAATAGGATAGTGAACAACGAATATCCAAAAGCACTTGATAGTTAACACCATCAATTATTGTACAATTTACATGTCAAGAAATGGTATGTTCTTTAAAGAATGCTTTTCTAGCATACATGTCATGTATTCAATGTCTGGGAAAATACGCTCAATGTACGCTCTCTTTTTTGGTGTCAACCACATATTCATAGAACTCAGCCCCGGTTAACATTAACTGTGCCTGAATTTGGGCATAGTGAGCATGTCTTTTGGATAGTTTGAGAATGGCAATTTCCTCCTTCTGCAAAAATAAATTTGTTATCTTTTCTCATGCTTCTTCAAGTGTAAAGTGTCAAGCTGAGTTCGGGCATTTAATTTCAATAATTCTGTTCTCCTTTTTTCACAACAATATATCTTGCCATCAGGAGTGGCTCCAAAGGAAGCTGAAATTGTTGTTGATTACTAGTCCACTCTCATGTAGATGGTTTGAGATTTTGTGTTCTAAATATCTTTTCTTGGCCTGTACTTCAATGTTCTTCCCATAGGAAAGAGATACTGAATGCATAGAAGTCTTGGGAAATAGACTGTTGAGGAAAGATAGTGTAGATTTCTTCTTTCTGTTCATAACCTTTCCGAGGTTGGAAGCTGTAAGACGATTAGATCTTAGATCTTTTCAGGATCTGTAAGTTGATACTGGGCATTAAGATCTTCATACCCAGGATCGAGTTGTACAGGTGACACTTTCGGAAGGCGTGATGGGCGCACGTAGTTGATACTGCACGTGATTTCATCTGAAAATAAGAAATTAAATCATTAGAAATAATAACTTTAAGCCCGGACATATTATTTTATATATTTCATTCCAAATTACAAATTAGCCTGTTATTTTCCAGTCATCCTCCACTTGAGCAACACCAGACAGTCCAAATTCAGGATCTGAGATCCTAGGTAGAAGATCAAGGGCAACAGATCAAGGATATGAAGAAAATTTTAAAGGAAAAAGACAAGGGAATTGTAAAGTTGAGGGAGGAACTTAAGAAATGTCAAAGATTTAATGTGACCAGTGTCTTGGTGAGATCAGGGAAACTAAAGGGCCTGTTTAAATACTACACAGGCATTACTTATGTCAGGTTTCTTGCCATATTCAGTTATTGGCCTTCCTTCTGCCAGGTGATCAGGCATCATGTTTGAATTATGAAAAAGGTCATCGTGACATTAGAAATTTATCTACTAAAGATTGCTTGTTCCTGACTATGTCGACTGTGCCACAGTTTTGGATTAAAGACCTCGCTATGCGTTTTGGACTGTCATTGCAATCCAGGTGGTGTAATATTCAATACCTGGATTGAACACATGAACTTGAAAATGGGCCAGTAAAAGTATATGGCCACATAAAAGTACTATCCTTCAAATTATGCCTGCAAAATTTAGAAAGAATATCCTTCATCCATGATGATTATTGATGGGACAGAACTGAAGACTCAAGTACCCTGTGCTTTAGGGTTACAGTCTCAGCTATACAGTGACTATAAGTCAAAGTACTACCTTAAAGTGTCGTGTATGTTTTGCCCCTTGTGGTTCATTGACATTTGTTTCTGAATTGTTTACAGGTTCAATTTCAGATAAAGCTTTAACTGATCAATCAGGATTTTATGATGCTGTACGAGGCAGGTACAAGAATAGATCGATGTTGTTGCATCCTGTGATGTGAATGTGATACTAGTCTCTATGAAATAAACATAATTTCATTTCCATGAAATGTTAGTCTTGTTACTGCAAAAATGATGTACTGATTGTTATGTTTTGACTGTTTTGAAGAACAGGATCCATGTCCCAATAGATTAAAACATTACCTGATATGACAAGACTGATCCCAAGCTAGACGTCTCCGAGCAGAGTGTTTAGTCACCGGGGTGCATCTGTCTGTAGCACATACTGCAGTGGGGTAATATGTGGAAGTCTGCAACAATATTCATCTACATTATATTCATTTGACACACAGTTTCTGAAAATTAAAAATATATCCTTAGTTCAATGCGTATATACACTTTATAGACCATTAGGACCAACTTTAAACCTGCACCTGTTTTAGTGATTATGTGCAAAACAGTTTTCACCAATTACAATACAAAAGTGACAAAAGTATCCATACCTGGTGTCACTGAACTTGACAAATGATTGGCTTCCTATTTCTAGACTGGGCAAGAGGTTGAGCCACAATCACTTGGTTGATAGGCACTGGGATGATCTTGTTGCCCTGTGAATCTGCCACTGTTGCTGGAGGCTGGTGCAACTCTGTTTTTCATGAATGTGCGTGAAATTGTGAGGCTTCAATCCCTGAAGTGTCTTCTTACAAGGTCAATGATGTGGGAACATCTTTCACCAAATCTAAACAAAAATGAATTCAAGTGAAGGAAATCTAAAAGATTTTTATAAAAATGAAATACCATTGTATCAAGAAAAACATCTAACCCAAAATCATGATACTTATTTTTAAGTGTATCAAAATGAACATAAATGATATAGGTGAAATCACAAATAATCTAAATTCGATTTTCAGTAGATTCTAACTTGTAATTTATTAAAGTCTTTACTTATAATTAATAGTACATTCTGTGCTAGGCATGGTGTTTCATTAATAAGTTTATATTTGAAACAGTATATTACTAGCCCTGCGTAACATTTGGAGGCTGATCGAAAACTAAACAATTGAATTTTACGGTTCATTTTTAGCCAAATTACTGAATGGATAAATATTCTGTTTCCTTTTTGCCGATAGTATATGTAAAACCCGATGTACAATAAATACAGAGGTGTAAACATTCGTCATGTTTTGCTGCCAAACTTCGATAGGACTAGAAATCAATCAACACACCAGTCATAACCCGACGAGAACAAATGATCGGTCACTGTGCCATTGAAATGACAATCTCTTAATCTATCAGGCACTGATTTTAAGTGATTTATATGAGGATTTACTGACTTCTTATCAATGACATTACTTACCCAGCTTTACAAGAACAATAGCTGTGAACGATCTTCTCGGCGCTTGTGTCAATCCTCAAATGGAGGGTATGCGGGCTCCGATTCTTCGACATTGACCGCCAGCACATAGCATCAATGTCAGAGGTGTTGTCACGGTTATAAACTCGTATCTCATGGATATAACCCTGTGAAGAAATAGTGTAAGCCTGTCTGTTGCGATTTCTGCGTCAAAGTAGGATGATCTGGCAAGAATGCAACAGATATTGTGTCGAGAACTGTCAACAGGCAAACGGTGCCTGATCGTGTATCCGCCATTTTGACAGCTCGGCATCCCAAAGCTTGGGGACGTAGCAACAGTAACCAAAGGTGGGCGGAGCTTGGGTCGGTAGTCGGAACTATGCATTCCACGGGTGTAAAACTTTTGCAACATCTACATATCATTTCCTCGACAGGAGGTTGGCATTTTTTCCAACATCATCAGCAATCATACTCACTTGTTGGCCACAGATGACCTTGACATTCAAGTGAATATCTGATCCTTTGATCCTTTGACCCGTATGATCCTTTGACTCATAAATAAAAGACAAAATAATTGAAATTCATGCGTATTTTACGATAATTACTCATTCATACAAAACCATATGTACCATATGATAACCATTTTAATGCATATAAGGTAAAGATGCGATCTGTAGGTAAATAGTTTTATCTTTGTTGCCCATATTTGCCCAAAGCAGACATCTATTAATACGGAGTTTTCTTTTAAAAGAGAAAAGCTTTCCCCAAAATACTCAGTGAGATACCCCTATAGGAAACCCCGAGATTTGAAAAAATAACTTCATCAAAGACTTTGTTTAACATTTTGTCAGGAATGGCATTACTTCGGGCGTACAACATTTCAACATTCCTGCTGCAATGTTACCAAGGCCTGTTTCCATCTTAATTCAAGCGGTAAATTGCTAATTATGTTCACTTGTGGATAATTCCAACACTGGGACATCATCATGGTGACCCGTGAAGATCCTGACTAGAATTGATCTTCAGTAACCCAGGCTCCCTGTAAGAGGCGACTAACGGGATCGGGTGATCCTGCTCGCTGACTGTGTTGACACATGTCATCGTATCCCAATTGCGTAGACTGATGTTCATGCTATTGATCCCTAGATTGTCTGGTCCAGATCCGATTATTGACCGCCGTTTATAGCATTGCTGAATGCCAATGCTATTCACCGCGGATCGGTAACCTTTAGATCCGAGTTTACACTGGTTTTCAGCAACAAATGCTTAACCGGGACTAACGGGATCGGGTGGTCAGGCCCGCTGACTCAATTGACACATACTATCCTATCCCCGCTGCACAGAACGATGCTGTTGACTGGTGACTGGCTCGCTGCCGCATTGCAAGAAGGATGGAACTTTATGAAGAGAATAAAAGTTTGAGTTTGCTTTACTAATAAGAATTGTTTTTTAGGATAACGGGTTAGGTACACAAAACGACCTTATATATTCCCAAACAAGGTGCTCCCCTGATCTTAGATTTCTTATATCTACAGGCATGTCGGGCAGGGCAACGAAAAGTCTAATTTTTACGTCACTTGGGCAAGTTAAATCTCGGCCAGATGTTCTATCTACTGGACAAGGTCTTCAACATTGAATATCACTGAAACAAGAATTAAAACTAGCATATATCTTGATATTATTCAGACAATCCAATATACAAAACGGGCCATAGATCACCAGCAACTGAAGGTAGATCACCATACTAAGGTGAGTGAGTAGAGTTTATTTTGTACGCCGCACTCCAGCGATATCCCAGCTATATGGCGGCGGTCTGTAAATAATCGAGCCTGGACCAGACAATCCAGTGATCAACAGCATGAGCATCGATCTGCGCAATCGGGAACCGATGATATGTGTCAACCAAGTCAGCGAAACTGACCACCCGATCCCGTTAGTCGCCTCTTACGACAAGCATAGTCGCCTTTATGGCAAGCACATGGGTTGCTGAAGACCTATTCTACCCCGGATCTTCACGGGTCACCATACTAAGGACCATGGGGACTTTACAGTACTTGTTCTACCTGCATGGACCCTGGCTGATGTACATCATCCCTTCTGCCGTTGGGAATAACAGTTAATTTTATCGTGAAGACGAACAGATTCCCATATCGGCCGCTATTTGTCAAGGCTACGTTAAGCTAAGTTAAGGTGGCTGTAGTTGTGCTAAGCGATGTCACAGACAAATTGACTTTACGTAAAGTCACGTTGTGAAATACGATATATCACACTTGAATCCAACAAGGTAATCCGACATCCCATTGTGGGTATGGTATCTGCCAAAAGTTGCATTTGTACCGGGGAGTGCAGCTATTCGGACACTGTCGCTTAAGCATCGTTGTTCTATCTTAAGCGTGTCAAGGATACAAATCATCAGGCATGTCTTCTTCAGTGATCAGAACAGATTACAGTTTCGGTGATACAAACTGGACTGTAACGAATAATGAATGATTTTAGGATGTTATCATCACACTCCTCAGTGAGTGAGTGAGTTAACATCGGCCATGTTTCAGCCATATCGTGACGAGAACAATTGATAGATTAAAGGAGAACTTTTTTGAAAATTACAACCTGCTGTCACACACTCAAAGATTCATGATCAATTCTTTTGCACTTCAAAAGGAATATAAATGTTAAATCACAAACAGATTTTATAAAACATTGTATGACATATCCAGCATAATGGAAAACTAAATGTTTCCTGAATTGTGTTGAGTTGAACAAAGTATGTAAGAGCCCTTAAGTAAGAAGTCTTGAAAGATGAAATTCAGTTCAGTGGAATTTCACAAATCTAATATTCAAGACTTGAACATGATGCTTCATTCCAATTGTATTGTAGATATTTTAAAAAATGAACGCAATTGCCATCCCCGTTGGGTTCTCCTGTGCTCCAAAGAGGCGATGTGACGGGAGTCTTATTAAGCCACTGCCACTCTGCAGTGTGAGTAGATTATTTCGGACTCCAAATTCGGGATTCTGTTACAGGCCGCTGTTATTGGCTCCCTCCCTCTGCAAGCAGTCGGCGTTCTGCTGTATATTTTGTTGGATACAGTTACACAGACAGATTCTTTAATACAAATGCACAAAATCGGTGATTTACAATGTGATTATGTTTTGTTCTGACAAAACATCCACTTGCACAGTTTGAGATCAATTCATGGGTCATTGGATGAAGAGAGATATTTACAATAAAAACGGGTCCATGCATTTCATCCCAAACTATAGGAACCAATTCTATATATTAGTATAACCAGGGGAGACTATAAGACGTTGTAGATTATCCCTGGTATAACTTCACTCATCTGCATCCTTGTTGTTCTAAGTGTCAAAATGTATATTGACTGCTATATTTCCCTTGGTATGGCTAGCATTTTCCAAAATACCGTTTTAAGTGTATGTTTTACTTATAATCTACAGAATCGCAAATAGTTTTGACCTGCCACGGTTTGCATAAACACAATTACATAGACCTGCGTTACTTCATGGATTAAATAAAAGTTGACCGGACCCACTGGACTGCCTGGAAAGGGTTTATTACATGTCATACAAGTGATCATTTGTCAGGGAATAATAGGCTTATTGTAGGTGGGATACATTCTCTAATTCGTACCCTCTAGTTAACACCTGCACCAGGGATTGAACGTTTGGGTGGTTTATCATTGCGTAATCAACAGTCAACAGACCATGAAATGTTGTTTTAAGACTGTAGGCGAAGAATACGGATGGAGGCGAATAGAGAAACAACCCATTTTGGGTTTGTGGTCAGAGACGGTGTTATGCAGTTGGTGTATTCACGAAATATCATAAACTTGTAATAGATAATTGTGGTTATCCACACGTCCACACACGGGCGGACTTTGGCAAAAACAACCCAAATGGATTCCTTCTTAAAAACTTCATAGTGTAACTTATTAAAATGGTCATTTACAATAAAAGGTGACAAAATGTTTAATGCATTAGTCATTTTAGATCACGTTTAATAATTTCTTGAGAGAAATCACTACACAAGGTCATATCACAGATGATTCCATGGACAAATAGTTCATGAGATTCTAGTTTATGAAAGCATTAACTTCCAAAAATAAGCAACCCAATCTGTTCTCTAATGCTCAGGCACCCATGAAGGGCCACCTCCTCGTGGTGGGTGCTGGGTAACGCTAAGCGCCCTTCAACCCCCCGTTGTGGACCCGGGGGGATATTTGGTCCACCAACCTGGTTGCCGTGGGTTGCGCCCC